ATGCTATACTTCTTCGAGAATATGGTAGGGTTGCCATGATTTTCAGCATAACTTCCCTGGTCAGAGCCATCTGTGTCAGAAGAAACGGTCAGTCTCTGCATTTAGCGTTGAGCGATGACTAATCGTTCCAGCAACTGCAAGGAATCTTCCTGATTTTCCTGTTGAGCTTGTAGCTTGCCGTTTCCTCTGATGAGTATACTTGTAGCTTGACGTTTTCTTGTCCGGTCTCTGATAAAGTATCTTCCGTCAGTCAAGTTGATTGGATTTCCATGAAGATCCAGAGTTCAGGCCACTTTTTTTCGAGATTTTTCTTTTCTCCTTTTTTCCTGATTTCTTTTTATTTCTTCTTTCGATACCACATTGACTTACCTTACTTGTTTACTATTTCGTTACTTATTTTGACCTCTCTGTGAATTCTTTCGTTCTACTAGGTAAATAAATCGAAATTTCTCTTAACTGCATCATCCGTTTGTCGAATCACTTACTTCTTCCTCTATGTACTTTTTCGCAACTTTGAGGTAGACAGGCTGGGCCTCGAAGAAACCAAACTCAGGGGTTTGAAATCGTTTCGGCGCAGTTCGGCCTAGGGAGAAGAGGGTCATTTTGCACTTTCGCTTCCCATTGTCGTTTCGATGGCTTTACAGGATTTCACAATTCTACTTGATGAATCGAAACGTCAATGGAAAGTAGCGAAGGTGCAAAATACCCCCTGCGCGCGTTTTTCGACATTGAAATAGTGGACCTGGTGGTTTTTAGTGTGAACCCACTAGCGGTTGGCGTGAACCCTCATCCTAACCATCACCTTTCTCGAATTGAAAAAACTTATCTCTGCCTGGCGCACATTCTGTAGCTTTACTTGTGATTTTATTGTGCTTTGGCAGTTTCCAGAAATCTAGAAAACAATACAAGCTGAAAATAACCAGTCGATCGATATATCGATTATTTCAGAAATGTTCCCGGAACGATGTCTGAAAGCGCAATGTTCGGTGGTGTTCCATCCGGAATGTCCAGCTGATTCGCGGCAAGTCATTCTTCCACCGCCACCTGGAGAATGTTGTGGTCGACCGGGAACTTGTCATTGCGACTTACAAGTAAATTTTGAAAAAAATAATGCATGGAAAATCTTGCTTTCTTGGGCATGAAAAATTTTTGTTTCTAATTCCTTTAGAAGGCTGTGGAACTTTGATTTTCCATTTTTCCAGAAATGCGAGGCATTCGTTCCGGTTTGTGAGGAAGGCATGGAACGCGTGTTGGTCAAGGAGGGTGGAAATCAGCCCGGATCGTGTTGTGACGTGTTCGAATGCCGGAAGCGTGGTGCGTTATCGATTTACTGATCAATTTAAGGTTTTGAGAAATACTGCTGTATTGGTGGAACATAAATTAAGAACCACTGAAACTGACGGCTAACGAATGCACGTGCGCGGCATTCGCACCAGGCCCTTACTTCTTGTGCTACACTTCATATGTCGGGTCACCTAACAATCGTTAGCCGTCAGTTTCAGTGGTTCTTAATTTGTAGGTGTAGGCTACTGCGTAAGTTTTTGTACAGTCTTAATTGGTAGAGGCTAGGCTTTCTGGCGGTTGGGATTTGGCGCGACGTCAGCGTATTCTCTCACTAACTCTTAGGAATTTGACGGGCAGCCATAATCGTGAGAATAGGCTGGGGCGCTGGTTTTACGTCCCCCCCCCCTCTGGAAAGCGCCTCGTCGTCCATCGTCCGCAGCGAATATGACTGCGGCAGTAGCGCTTCTAAGTGGATCGCCCAAGCACCAGGTCTGTGGAAGCAGGAGGAAGTTACGCCTTCTGTGGGATTCTGAATGGCTCGTCCCCTTAGCGGGATTCATTTCAGGCCAGAAGTGCCTGCCCTTTTTGTATGGGTTTTCTATTTTTGAACCCTTTTCAGAAGTCCAATGCGAATCGTTCCGATGTCCGACACAAGTGTTCGATGAGGACGAAGGCGTCGACTGCCCGCCCGACAGTATTCGCCCTGCCGAGCATGTACCACCTGGAATGTGCTGTCCGATTAGACCCGGGTAATGATTCGCTCCTGTTACATAATTTGCAAGTTATCTGTACACAATTTTCTGTTTAGATGTCGTTGTCGAGCTGCTGTATGTCGACCTGCAGTCTGTGATGAGGGCAAACGTCTCAATATCATTCGAAAGGGTACTGGAACCCCAGGGCGATGTTGCGATGAATGGACATGCGAAGATGATCCGCAGCTTCTTGTAGGTTCAAGTTATAAAGGGAACTGTATAACTTCGAGTGCAGAGCGCAGAAGTATGCTGTCAGGAATAACTGAATGGTTACGGTAGCCTCATAGTTCGCGCTCTCTAAGATCATAGGTTTTTGAAGGCAGTTCGGCGACAGGGGGATGGGGGACATTTTTGCACTTTTGCTACGTCGCTATCGACGTGTCGACGCCGGCATGCGACAGCGCTTCTCGATTGACAGATCTTACCGTGATGGCTTGACAAGTTTACTCTAGCTTCGCAAGAGCTCACAAGTTTCACCATAGTGAGACGTGAACCGGAACTAGTGAAGCGAGAAAGTGCCAAATGCCCTCCCCCACTGGCGCCTAGGTTCTGTATCTTGCGAGGTGAGCTTTGCAGTTATGTTGTCCTGACCAGCCCTATATCCCCTCAAACCATGGTACGTTTGGTGCGCGTTGAATTGCATTGAATTGGAGCGCAGCCAGCCTGCCTTTTTCTTCAACAATAATGGCCATCTAAGCTCGTATAATTGGCTGGGAATATCGCCACCGGCTGTGCTGCACTCCACGACCCTCCACGTCCTAATCGTTTAGCAGGATCACGATTTGCAACTATGCTGAGCAGAAACAGTACTTGGCTTAATGGTTTATTTTTGCCATTCTAACGGCTTGGTACTTCGTGGCCTAGGTGTTGCGGCGTATGTCCGGAAAGTGTGAAATCCGGCTTCCATTTTCACTTTGAGGGTTCTCAGAAAGGGTCCGTTCACGAGCCTGCCATTTTTGGGGCATTGCACGTCATTGTTTTGTTAATCTTTACCGAGTGATACTCAGGAGCAGAGAAACTGTGGCCCTTTTTGGCTTCAGTGGAGAGGGGGGGGGCAGTTTGTCATTTACCTATATCTTTTGCTTGTTCGTTAAGTAACCCGATTCGTTTCGGTCATACCTGTGAACTCTTGTCAAGCTGAGCAATGTTACAAACGGTGCAAAGGGGCCAGTCGATAACAGCGGTTGTCATGTTTTCAAAGATGCTCTGGACAAGCTCGCTGAGTAACCGTTTGTGCTCCAATAAGCCAAAGCAACGCCAAAATCTTTTTGATGGGTAAGTTTTTACAAGGGCGGCTATACTCGCATAGCTGGCGGCGCGCTCAAAACTGGCTATTAAGTGGCTGTTTGATCTGCACGTGTACGCTCCCCCTTCGCATCCTCCCTGCTCGATAGCAGAATTCTAGAGAAATATGGTAGCTCGAGGAATAGTGGGTGTGGCTGTGATGTTGTCGGAAAGGAGTCGTTAAGCGGGACCATCTTCATTTCAGGGCTGTATGGATAACTGACGTTGTTGTTCTACACATCCTCATGATGTCCCCTGTCGTGAAAACAATTACTTTCATTGTTTCAGTCAAAATCGTGTATACGCGATGGGAAGACGTATTCGGATGGGCAAGAATGGCACACTTCTTCATGTGAAGTTTGTCGATGTAAGAAAGGAGTCGCCGTGTGTAGCAAAATGACATGTCCCAAAACACCTGGTGAGTTTTCGTGTTTCCGAGGGTTTTCTTCACTCTATAAGGTTTGCTGGCAGAGTGGGTAGCGGTGCGTTTTTCGTATCCACGTGCATCAAGTTCGTCTGCCTCCTCTCATCCAAAACTTTGCGAAGTGCTCTTTTCTTTGAACGATTTTTTCTCAGCGAAATATCAGGCGGAAGCACTCTGAGGAAGCTGTTCCGAACACTATCTCAGTGAGAGTGTGCAGACGAGCATGCACAATGAACACAGCATATTCGTCCGCCGCATACTCCACCTCAGTACTTTTATTTTCATTTGTCTTTTCGTACTTGCCTGCCGCATTTCTGGGCGCTAGCGTATATCTCTTTCTCAAGACTCACAGGTGTGGGGCACAGACGACTAGAGTCGCCGTATGATAGCCTCGCAGAAAAGAAATTCCCCACTAACGCTCCAAAAAACAAACCTAAGCCTTGGTTAGCGTAGGGCTGGTTTTTTTTCTACTTCTAATTAGTGAACGGCATACAGCGGCGCTGGCAAATGATTCAACGTACCTCATCCGTGCTACGTTAGCTTCCTATTTCTGCTATATATGATGTGCCTGTGGTGAAAGCAGGTAAGGCGGCAAGTCGCCAGTAAATCTTTAGGAACTCATCAGATATAAAAGATCTGCTTTTAGGCTCATGCCTGTGATTGTCATACGCGGAAGGTGAGTGTTGTCCGGTGTGTGTCGGATGTCAGACGGAAAAACTCGAGAAGAAACGTAAAAACGAGAGTTGGCAGAAAGATGACTGCACCACGTAGGTTGCCAAGATTTTCTGAACGTTCTTCGGCAGAACTTTCGTAGCAGCATTTCAGATGCACTTGTTCGGAAGATGGCACACCAGTATGTGAGAAGCATATGTGTAGTACGGAATGCGAAAATCCACGTAAAGTCGAAGGACAGTGCTGTCCTGTATGTGACGGTAAGTAAGATGTGTCTCATAGCTCACACTTGGTCCAGTAGGATCCCTCCAGGGCAGGACGGAATGCCCCTAATAAAAGGAGCACTGCAGGTGCGGCTGCTCCGCTAGAGTTTCTCCGCTAATCGCGAAACGCCTTTCGAGAACTAAGAACTATAGCTAAGTTGTTTTTTGGCTGCAAGCGTGTGGCGTGTCCAAGGGGTTTTCGGGGAGGGGGGTGGAGGTTGCCTGCGCCAGCTCTTTTTCCACACTTGTTATCGCTTGCCCTCTCAACAGTTATGGCGAACGGAAGTTGGGTACAGCACACCGCCCCCCTGCCGCTACACCCCGAACGTCTGCAGCGACATCACGGCGATTAGGAAACTGACCGTATACTACTATACTACTATTGCCTATAGTACGACGCCTCCTTTGGTCGCCTGAGAAATGAAGCTCAAATATCCTCTCTATCCATGCCTTATTTCTCCAGATTCCTAAAAATCGCTGGAAGGAAAGGGAGGGGCATGACATACTTTCCTCAAAGCGACTTCTTTGACTTCCTTCAGCGCTATTTTCTTCGAAAAGAAACCTCGTTAGCTCCATAGTGACCAGCCACTTCTGTAGGGTAGAGAGCCACGGAGTGGGTGAATTAACAACCATTATTTGTGAAAATTGAATTTACAAAAGCAGCACAGCCAGCTCGGAACCCTACTCTCGGTATTGCCAGCGCTGGAGAGGAAGTATCAGATTGGCTACCACCTGTCCGAGGCATATATTAAATGTCATTCTTTACTGACTGCTATTGATATTACAGAACCACTGCTCTTGACCATGCCAGTGGCCTGTCCGTCAATTGAGCACTGCCCATTGCGATGTGAAGGCCGGGTTGATACGGGACGAACGTGGATGCTTCCAATGTGAGTGTGTTCCTTCGAGTCGTCCGGGTCGTTGTCCTGAACTCTCCGCACGGAACTGTGACAAGTAAGTCGGATTTGATGGAGTAACTTTTTCAGCATTAGAACCCCTATATTGATTTGAGGCACGCACAGTCCATGCTGGCCAGGTGGGCGGAGTCAAGCCTGCATTCTGCCTTACTTCTTTGAGCTGCCTTTCTCTTCATGCTCAGACAGCAAAGCGTCTGAGAGGATTGCAGAAGTGGTGGGGCCTGACTCCGCCATAAACCAGCACGGACTTTCTCTTCAGTTTCAGGGCTGACGGCCAGATATTTAGGCCTGACTGCGTTTCAATAGCTATTTTAGGCAGTGCGCTCACGGCTATACAAAAGACGCGAGCGGTTGTGTGGTGTGTAAGTGCGCGAAATGCCCACCGCTTCATCAATGTCTCAAGCACTGCCTCTACGGTTACGAGACAAACAGTGTCGGATGCCCTGTGTGCAAATGCAGAGGTAATTGAATATGAAAGCTTTTCTGGGGTTTTTTCTATATTGATTTTCATTTAGTTTGGATTTGTTCATAGAAATCGGGTATAATGCTTGTTGAACGACAAAAATTTCGCTGAAAATGATTGGAGATATGTATTCTTGTAGCTTGGAGGCGGCGCAGTCCATGTGGCGGTTGTGGGCGAAGGCACGGGTCTTTTTAAGGCTCGGCGTTAGGACAGCACAGACGATTGCTTTTATCACCAAAGTCAGTCGGGGTGTGTTGTGGCGGCGCCTACGTTCTCGCCACAAATCGTTGGCGGATCAGGGGCTCAACGGGTGGTGTGTTGTGCGAGCGGGCGCCTACCCTTCTCCACAAATCGTTGGCGGCATCAGGGGCTCAACGGGTGGTGGGGAAGAGGCCAGTGTACGCGCCTTGCTGAAACGCCCTTACTGGCTTTGGTGCTAGGACTGTGGACGAGGAGGAGTGGACTCAGGTCGCTCCCTCGCACATCTTTCAGCTGCAGTAACGAAAAAACGGTGCTGAGAGAAGAAAAGCTCTGTCTTTTAGAATCCCTAGACGAGCCCCATTTCCGATCCAGGCAGCTCTCTACAGCGCCCAAACTTCTTGTTGAATGATCCACCAGGCCCACCCCTAGTGGTGGACACTGTGTCAACCGCGCGTGGATATTGTTGCGACGCCCACCCGTTCTCCACGAATCGTTGCGGCTTCGGGTGCTCAATGGGTGGTGGGGAAGAGGCCTGTGTCGCGCCAGAGCCCGCGCCCTGCTGGCACGCCCTGACTGAGTTTTGCAGTAGGGAACCCTTAAGGGTGCCAGCCATCGTCCAAACTGCACACTTGGTCCAGACCATCGATCGGGGACATGGTTCTGAATGGGTAGGGGAGCGCAGTTCGGCTTGATGTGGGCTTTTGCTGGTTCCCCTCGATCATTGCCGATGTCGCCTAAGGAGGCTTGTAAGTTTCTATCAAGCTATGCAATAGCTCGAGCTGCGTTACACTTGACAAGAGTTCATAAGTCTTACCAAGATGGGGCGTGTAATTCAACAGGAAGTAGCAAAATAAACCAACGAGAAGTGAAAAAATTCCTCTACCCACAAGCCAACAGCGCCTAACAGCTACTAGGAAAAGTTTGTCCAGTACGTTTCCTGGACCCTGTAGGCTCCCTGTGGAATCGACATCGCAAATCGGCAACTATCTTCCCTTGTTAAGTCGTGAAGCCCCGTTTTATATCCTTTTTATCGATGTATTTTCAGCAATTTCACGTATAGACGCAAAGCTGACGATACCGGAGAAGCTAGGACGTCTTGCCGGCTGGGACAAATGTGTCTCGCTTACCGCTTCTGGTCGCATTGCCGAGAAAGACGGCGGCGAATGGTGGAGTGATGGATGCCGTCACTGCTTCTGCGAACAGAAACAGGTTAGTTTGGAACTTCTTCTGATGGCACACTCTACGCTGGTCGTATTATGGGCAGCTACAGAGGACCACTGTACCTTCATCAGTGGCACCTACTTCTTTTTTTCTGTCTTATCAAAAGGCTCGCTCCAATGAAGAATCGGCAATTTTTTTAAGAGTTAGCCCATAGGATTAGCGTCAACTTGTATCTTTGAGCTGCACGTAGTTGTAGCAGCAAAAATTGAGTCTCGAGATTTCAGGAGTACTGCTCACTGATTTCTTGCGCTCCTCGTCCAGACGACTGTCCAGAAGAAAGCTGGATACAGGAAGAAGGTAACTAAATGTGCACTACCTATCTAGAGAGGGTATTCGAAGGACTGCTTGTGCCGGACTGGGATCTGCCCGTCATACGAGTAGAGTTACCATAACTAAACTGGCTCACACACCACAAAGCCCTCGCCGGTTAGGTCTAACCATAAGCAGAAGGTCTTCACTCCACTGCGGTCATTCTTGTTTCGCGCAAGAAGTCATTCAAATGCTCCATCCAAGGTTATTAGCGCTCAGATGCGTTTTTCTTTTGATGGCAAGAGCAGGAAAATTCAGGAGCATGCTGCCCGTCTTGCGTGGCCACGTCGAACAAATCAGTGCTCGCATCGAAGCACGAACACACCGTGTGCCAATCACCAGGCTCCGGTCGGATATTCACAGGTACCCCCATGAGTCGTTTTATTTGGGTAATATTGAGTGGCAGTGTTGTATTGCGTTATACTGGAATGGTTATGTTGAATTGTCTGAATATAACTAGAAAATTTTCCAGATGGAGAGACCTGGCAACTTGGCTCCATGTGTCTCCTGCACATGCCGTGTTGGTCATGTCCTATGTCGTGCCGTTGACTGCCCGCCGATCGCCTGCGACCATCCTATCCTGCATCATGACGACCAATGTTGCCCTAGGTATTGCATACAGTAATGCTACCGAGATTTCAGGAGACGGTCAAGACAATCGTAATTTGTCGCTCCGTCGCGCGCGTAGATAGACCGGGTTTTTCTCAGCTTGCCATAGTTTGTCGGAGTGATGCCCATCGCGACGTAGCAACGTGACGGGCTCACTACGCGGAGGTCGAATTACGATAGCTTGTGCATGTGAGTCCGAGATTTTGTTGTAAAAAGTAACATATGAAAGAGTTCTTTCGCAGATGTTCCAGCTAATCACCGAGACGTCCGCTTCGTTCAGTGGATTTGGCCCCGGATTAGCTATATGGTACCGCGCCCACATGGCTGGGTCAGTGGAAGAATTTAGTTTCCTGCTTGAGTTTCCTTCAAACGCATGAGGCACGGTAATTTTGTAATCGGTAGAACATAGTAGGAGGGGTGCTACACAGGAGGAGGATGAAGGAAAAGAACGGAGAGGCTTAAAATTCGCTCACTTCAAGATCTCCATTTTGATGGTGGACACGACCAGCTTAGCGTAAACCGCTCATCGGCAAGTTTTCGTTGGCATTGTGCCGCACGTCGCAATCTTCCCTTTCCCTCGTGATTCCCTCGCGTGCTAATCTTTCAACTCATGAGGGATAACAGACAAATCGACACATGTAGCCCTCGGAATAGCTACGGCAATGCATCAGCTCTCAAGGACTGCAACAAAAGCCCAGTTTTTGTCAGAAATTTTATTTCCATCTTTGGTAAGAGAGATGCAATCAATTGGAACAATCTTACCAGGTTATGGGTGTGGAATAAGCTTTGCTGGCATCGCTGTTATGGTCAGACTGATAGGTGGATTCAGACTGACGCGTCGCCCGTTCCAATTGAGGGCGTCATGTGTGCTTTCATACGCTTGCTCTCCAAGACTTGAAGACGGCTCTGTTATGGACGCTAGAAGGTGGACTGCGGCGGCAGCGGTGATAGCAAGGCTCGCTCGACAGTCGTGCAGTACGGTTGCAGCGGGGATAGGTCATGCTCCTCGCGCTTCGTTACTGAGTTTTTTATGCGAATCTGAAACGATAGGCATACCGCTTGCTCTCCAAGATGTTTGAAGACGCCTATGGAGGTGCTTGGCGGATTGACGGGGCGGCGCTTGAAGCACAACCAGAACACCTTCCCCACCAGTTCTAGCCTCAAACGGCATCAGTGGTGAAAACAGGCCGCCTTGACTGCGCTCAAATCCGCGCCACATCGCACGCCCTATCGTCTGCAGGGATCATGAATGCTTGGGGTCTTCACAACTGATTTCCTCGCCTTTAATCCAGATCTTTCGTACAGGGCAAGAATCATTTACTTTCCTCCCTACTGCAATTTAAGGCACTCTCCTCACTATCTACCTTCGACTTTTCGTTCTTTCACGACTCCTTATATTTGTGTCAGATTCAGGTCATAATGGGGGAGCAACTGAAAATGAATTGACAAAGCAGTCCAACAAATAAGAATACGTGTTCAGGTGCTTCGTGGAGAACGGATGACTGCACTTCGTGTGAATGTGGCACTGACGGCAAGATTGTCTGCTATCGTCAGCAGTGCGATACAGATGCTACTTGTCGCGGGAAACCGCTTACCATCAAAGGACGGTGTTGTCCTGTATGTGAAGGTGAGGCAGACTGAGCTAGGAGCACGCCCAGTGCTAGAACATCAGTTCGAGCAACCGGTACATTATTTCTGACAAACTCCCTTCAAGCTAATCAATTTTACTAACTTCAGATGCCCTCTCGACATCTGTGTGCTCATTCGACTCGTCGGTCTATGCGGTCGGTGAAGAATGGCGCCAGGATACATGCACCAATTGTTCCTGCCAACCGGGTGGACGAACCGTTTGCCGTCAACTCGTCTGCCCGCAGTGCGTTGAGCCGGTACCCATTGAAGGACATTGCTGTCCGTTGTGCAAAGGTGAGCTTCCAGTTCTCAAAACTGATGCATAATTAGACGATGATAGTGTTGACTTGTAGAAATTCGTGCTTAATTCTGAAAGATTTCTTTCTTCTGATTTCTAGAAAAGGGAAAAGCAAAGGGGAACAGATCCTTATTCTCATTGTATAGTCATGATCCTTGCAAGTGAGAGGGCGTGTTAAAGACCTGACTGTCGAAGCGTACAGTGTTTCAGCCAATCGTCGTAACACGGCGTAAGAATGGGAGAGATAGTGGTCAGAGCACCGGGATCAAACGATATCATCGCGGGTTGATTAGCCTGGTCGCAGTGCGCCGCCCAATGCATTTTGAGGACAGCTCCAGTTTATAGTGCTAACAGCCGATCCGTCGCGGGCGGCCGGCGCGTCAAACGGCACCGCTCTTGGCACTTCAGGTCGCATGACTAATTGCGCGCTCTGGGAAATACAATTGAAAATGCATTTCGCCTGAAGGGCGGACAACATGAGATATTGCTCATGCTTCAAAGTCCGAATAGAAGGTGATGAAGATGACAAAGGCTAGAAATGAACAACAACGAATGTAGATGTAAATAAAACAAAATTGAAAAAACTTAAAAGGGCAGGCGTCGCGCCGTTCAGTTGAGAGTTTTTCCTCTCCTTTCGTGAAAGGCAGGTAGTCAAGTCCCGGCTGAGGGCAGACAACTACATGCTATTTTCCGGCGGCGCAAATAACGCGTGAGGAGGAGCCAAACGATGCCGATCGTGGCTTATGCATTGGCCGCAACCGTATGTACAATAATTTGGCGACCGCCGCACCCATTCATTTTTAATGGTTACCTGATGGTGCGGTTGTTTCGCTGCTGCTTCTCTCCACGTCGAGTGGTGAGAGTGAGGTGATAAGGGAAAACAGCTGATATCAACAAGTGAGAACTCGTGCGATCGCACCTTCTCTTCGCCTTGAGCACGTACAACCTCAATTAAGCAAGGGGTTCTATATAGGAGGCCTTTCCTATGATTTCTTTCTGATTTTTCTTCACTAAGGGGTTACTTGCTACCTTGTTATAAGTATTTGAGCCGCATAACTCATCAAATTTGAATGCGGGCTCAGCCTTTAAGGAAATGCAAATTAATCGAAATCGCGTGTAAATTTCTGCAATTCGGCGCGATTCCGGCTCACGGAGGCTATAAAAGATACTTTGAACTAAACGATCGGGAGCTTCAGGGACCGGTTTTTATTGTCATGTTCTGTGGGAATGCGCGGCCTCTGAGGGATATTGCAGAAGCAGCACAGTTGCTCTTGAGTTCTAGCCCTCGTCATCATCTTCGGTTCTAATTTTGCAGCACCTCATATGTTATCCGCATCAGGAAATTGCGTTTCACTTGTATTCCGAAAGCGCAATTAAGGATGGCAAGTTGCCCAAGAGGCTGGGCGCGCGAACACGCACGGCCGCGCGGAACGCTTTTTAGCATAAACAGGAGGGTGGGGCCGCAAAAAGCGATGTGGGTGGAGCAGTGGAGAGAATTAGCGTGTTTCACGGTTCTCGTTAATCTCTCATTCGCTGGGCACATGCTAGACGGGGGCTACGCGTTCGACAGTTGGGGCTGAGCCAATCAAGCACTCACAAATCTAGTGTTGTTGATCGTTACAATGTGTCTTCTAGGGGGCATGAATGGGAGACGCTGGCTGGAAGCGACATATGGCTCCCGCAATATTGTGTGCGCGACCATGGTGGTAGAAAGGGCGGAAGCTTGGCAGCGTACCAGAGTGCGGAACCTGCCTCGTATGCCATATTTTTGCGGGGATAATGGCTATACCTTCTGCTAACTTATTTTCTTTCAGATCAAGGATGGGTGGCGTTCAGTGAAGGTGTCGGTTCATCGCTAGCACCCCCAGTTGCGTCGTTCGAATCAATCTACCGTTGGTCGGACTCTGCTTCATGACGCTTGCAATGATTGGACTCATTGTGTTGCTGCTTATTCTCTACAAGAGAAGTCGTGGCGACACGAAGGTAATCGTTTAATGAATATTTTACGGGCAGATTTCCTGGCTAATCGCATGGGCGGGGAAGCGATCGGGGGAGCTACTGGTTTCCGTCATTTGTAACTCCCGCGTTTCTTACACTTTCCTCAAAAAGCATTAAGCATCTGCGCGAATGAGGACACAATGTTAGGTCTTGCATCACCGTCAATGAGCGAAGGCGCGGGAGATGTAATAGACGAACCCTCGGCTTGAAATCTGGAATTTCGCAAGATCCGATAATTTTTTTGTGCTTCAGCTAAGAATGCTGATGCCGATTCAGTGTTTGCAAAACTAACTCACTCATTACGGGTAGACATGTCCACAGAAAATGCGGGAGGATCAATTCGCGTACTCTGGTTCTATAAAGATAGGCAGCATAGGATGGTGGGTGGGATGGCGATGTCAGTGGTTCCTCGCCTCGCTCCCCCCCCCCCCCACCGTGGGGCTGAGTATTCCCTGCTTCGCACAGCGACCCCCTTCCATGACCCCACTGGCATTGCTCTTCCAGGCTTTTTCCGGTTCCGCATCAGCCAATTTTGCCGAGTGTCTTTGTGGGTTTTTTTCGCCAAAAAAAAACATTGAGCAAGCGAGAGGGAGGGTGGGAAGACCCCCACCTAACCTATCATGCAAGGGCACGAGCATCGATGGGGATCTTGGTCGAGCTTTTACGACGGCCCCCTCTTACCGCTTTTTTCAGGGTTTACACCCCCCCCCCCATGCTCGTACGATGGCTGACATGGCTGACTGTGGTTGTGGTTTATACTCGGCGAAAAAGTTGTCGAGCGGGGGGTATGTAGTAGGCATGCGACGTACATCGTACGGGCGTACATAGCGCTGTCAAACCGTTCTACGTAACGCGCGACTTATATTCGTCTCCAATTGAGAACGCAGAGACATAGAAATATGAACCTGTGGACAAGCTTTAGGAAGGACAACCCTATCCTACAACTAATGGTTCCGCCTATCATACTTATTGTCAGACTAACCTCGCTTTCTGCTGTGTCGTAGTTTCATTTTCCACTACATCAATTTATCATGAATTTGCAGAGAGGCGGAGTTACGGCACTCCACGGCGAGACACGGGAACGAGGCAGTGCTTCACTTATTTGCCACAGCTTTTCGCAGTAGTGACACCTGCACTTACGACCCCATCCCATGTACTACCCGCATGCAACATACGACCCCTTCGTCGCGCGTTCCGCGGAGCACTGACCCTGACTCCTCACCCCTGCCTCCCTTCAGTCACGTTTGCACTTGATAGACATTTTGACCAGGAAACAACCACCATTAAGCACGCTATAACAACCAGGAGTCTCGGTTTGACTTGAGGAGTGCATCCTCTACTAGCAAAGGGTCTGGAGTAAAAGCGCCAGTGATTAAGCCAATTAAAAACAAGCTTGAAACAAAATTGAATCTTCACTATCTCCTTCGGCACAATCACAGCCATCTTATTTGCCTTTGCTTAATTACGATTAGCGAAGTATCCACACCCGTAAACATGAATCAGACGTGGATACGGTAGCGGCAATGAGTACGCAATTGCACGGCGTGATTGGTGGTATTTATAAATAACATCTGCTGTCTAAACGAAGCCGAGGTAACCTCTTTGAATAACTTTCCCGCGGCAGCAAAAAGCCTGTTTTGAATCAGGGCGCCGAGGTCGCCGGGGGAACGGGAATTCTGTGGGGCAAGGACCGAACCGTGGAAACAAATTTTCGGCAAGTAGGGTGTCTTTGAAGGACCATAACTTCCTCAAAAGCAGACCTATGGGGAAGGGGAAAGCGTATTCGTGTAGAGGAAGGTTTGATCTTCCTAAAAGTGCTAAAATCTTCATGAAGGTCGCAAAAATCACAGAGAAATTGCCTTGGGGATTCGTTGGGGATTTTTTTTGGAAACAGGTTTGAATCAATATATTTTTTTTTGTAACTCAATATTTCACAAATCTGAGAACGGATTCGAGTGTATGAAGACTTGCTCTTTCTAAAAACCTATTGAACTGTTTTGGAAGTCCTCGGGATTCATGAGATCATGGGTTGGGAGAGATTTGTTGGGGAGTACTACGAGCTCGTGAAAAACCCGTTTCCTGTGTACCGTTTCAAGTGAACGTGTTCGAATAACCAGGAACGCATGTAGAACGTATCCTGTGGTGGAGCAGGAGCAGAATATGGTTCGTTCAGAGCTGATCACGCCAACTCTGGATGCGCCGCGCACTGAGGTCCGCGCAGAAGTGATGGGATGGTGCAACTTGTGCATAATGTGTGTCCACGCGCGCAAATGTGTCTGTAGGATTCAGGGAGGTCCATGGCGAACCTGTGCACTTGTCTACAGTGTTTTCCCTTGCGGATGATGTAGCGTGTCCGTGTCGACGCCGCCAGATCTGTGCTCCGATAGTTGCTGATTCCGATAAAGGAGACCAAGTGCTGGAAAACGTCTGGTACGAACGATATGGTAGTCCTGTCGTTTGTCAGAAAAAAAACAGGTTGGCTCAGCGCCAAGCGTGATCGCGGACACGCCCCATCATCCGCAGCAAACCAGAGTATGAGTTGTAGTGTTTAATCACTTACGAGATGTTGTCGACTTATTAATAATTCCAATTATTTCGGATTAGTTTGATGGATGAAAGTTTTGTACTCATTTTTTACATATCCGAGTTCTCTACGAAGCAAGTTCCGCTACACAGGATTCAGCACACTGACACCTTTGCGCTGCTCGATACTGGCTACCGCACTCATTACGACCCCCCCCCCTCTCCTGGCGGCCAAATACGACCCCCCCCCCTATGGGGATTCCCCAACCAAC